ATAGCTCCTTCAACACCGACACGGTGTGCGACGGTTTCCGCAACGAATGCTACAAGCGCGCCTCTTCCACCGTCCAGCTGCGCGCCACCTGTCGTGCTCATGCCGACGAAGGCTTTGTGCGCTTCCAATGCGTCGAGCTGCGCAATCGCGGAGGAGCATGGAGCGGTACTTCTGAAGTTGGAAATGTGATGGGTCTAAAGGAGGTCAAGCAGTCCGATGGACGTTGCAATGAAATCTACCAGGGACTCTGCCTCAACGATCAAGCTCCCACGGGCACCGTCCAGCTGCAAGACCCTTTCTTGGCCCAGCCTGCTCCTTGAGCGCGCCCCAACGATGCTCTGTGAAAGACCGCGGCGCGCATCGAGTCAAGTCAAGCGTTTTCAACAAGTGAAACCCAACCAGAAGATTTCTACATTCTTACTACTTTTCGCTTCACAATTGCCTTTCTAATAATATAATGCCAGGCCCCCCATGCGTATCGCCTTCCTTGCTCCAATCTTTTCCTTAATGCAAATGCGTAATTGTTTTTCTTCCCCTTTCTTTGAAAGAGACGCGAGCGTCTCGCTTCGAGAAGTGCAAGTCGTGTATGTACAATCGCAGTCAAAAAGGTGAAAGTGGCAAAGAGGCGATGCGTCCTTCTTATCCTCTCGGGCCTCAATCCTGCTGGCTGCGCAAAATGGCCTTGGAGCGCTGCTGCACGTTGCGCAATGGATGTTTGCGGGCTAAACCCCCTGCCAGCATACACGTTTACAGTTCCTCCGAGTTTCTCACTCCTCTAGCCTTTTTGCGCTCCTCTCTCGCATTCGCAGCTCTCAACTTCTCCAGCGCCGCCTCTGCCTGTCTTCCCACTGCAGCATAAGCCGATTCGGCCACTCCTTCAGGCTGCACACTGTGGCCCTGCTGCTTCTTCTCGGACCGCGTCGCGCTGCTGAGGGATTCGTAAAAGCTGGTGGCTTGCTCAGACGCGTCTGATGCGCCGGACACGACGGCTGCGGTAGCTTGAGAGACGATAGACGATGCGGTTCCCACAAGATCCGTCGGCTTCACTTGCCCACCTGCTGCGGAAACGACGCTTTGAGAAGCGGCCGCTGCGTAGGAACCTGCTTCGCCAAACAGAGACTCGCCAGCACTGCTAGCCTCCGCAGC